TATGGTCTATGATTTTTTTCGAAGCGGGGCTTTTTTGTGGTGGGAAAATATTAGGGGTTAAGATTATTATTAGAGAAAGTCGACGGAACTATTATTACCGATTGTTAGTCGCATGGGTCATATGTTAACAAATTTTCGGTGACTATAATGCTTTTGTTTTGTTCACAGAATGGAATCCTTGTTCCAAACTTTTTCTTTTATGGGGCGTAAACGGTCGGGATTAAAATACTTGGCTCGATTAGTTTTTTTCAGGCGTAAAAGCGATCGGTGGATGAGAAAAAGTGTACAACATACGGCATTCTTGGCATCTTCAAGCTTCAGTGGTAATAATACAATTAGGGCTTTTTTCGCAATCATTTCGACGATGGATCTGAATAACCTAACCAGTTCTTCTTTAGCACATGATTGTGTCGACAAACAAATTGTCCTTTTTAGACCTAGAACTGTGAAACTGCAAACTGAATTGCAAAAGCTTAGTATTTTGTTGAAAAAATAAAGATTAATCCAACTATATATAAGACAGATTTTATTAACTTTATTTTCACGTAGTAAATATGAGGATGCTGATATTTATTTTTTTCACAAACCACCTGAATATAAGACATTAGGTAAACTATATGTAGCGCGCTCTTTCTATTGCCCAGGCTTTTGATAATAAAGTCTGGATTGAGGGACTTAAATATAAGATTTTACTACTAAAATTACCAAATTACATAAAATCCATAATCCTATCAGTTCTTGACAACACAACCTTCTAAGTAATAAATTAACAGGGAAGCATCTTCAGACCTCTTTAAACATCTATATGAGAAACATCCCTTCTAACCTTTCTTCAGTGGCGATGTTCGCAGATGATACTGTTTCAATTATCCAAAATTCGGACATCCACGAAGCAGTAGGCAGATTACAAAAAGCAGTAGACGATACAAGCAAATGGTGCGATTAGTGGAACACAACAAGGAATGCTGACAAAAATGTGCCACTAAGGTTTTTACACTGAAGCAAATCAAAAACGTGGAACCCAAGAGATCAAGCCGTCAAATATCTAGGAGTGTATCTCCGTATTAACAAAAAGCTAACACACACAAAGGAGACTAATTAACCTTTATCCCTCGTGTTCATTTTTCTATAAGAACGTTATTCGAGCGAACATTTTCGAATTTCATCTAGAACCTAAAATGAATTGTAGAAACAACGTAGAAAGAATTAATTTCCTCACACCACGAAAGCTTAATTAATTGAAGTAAAATTTTAATATCAACACAGCGGAATGCTGGCATTTTATTCCCGTGTATATTAATAACAATTCAATTTCGCGAATGTGGATCTGGTTTCTTGGGTTTCAAAATACCTATGACATTTTCACTTATCGGTACGGGAGTGGCACTAAAAGTCAACGGTGCCATTTCAATGGTCCATTTCCATATTCCTGAGGGGAGCGGTACTTTTCCGAGTGGAGAGAATGAATTGTCACCTGAAGGGGATCTCGTTTTTGGCATTATATAAATAAGAGGTCGTTCACTTTTTACGAATTTTGCATATTGAATTTTGCTTAAAGTAACTTCCTGAAGAAATCGACCTATCAGAAACATTTGTATAAAAAGATACTGTATTGTATTTTATTCATTGATAAGGATCAGATCCAGGCAGAGGATTTTGGATATTTGTTTCAATCATTGGGAATTTTATTTACACTTTCCCAGTATTACCATTTCTTTGGTTGGATGTTATTTTGCATTCCAGGTAAATATGTGTACTTTCAAACCGGAGAATGTAAATTATTAGGTATTAAAAGTAAAATTCTAGATAAGAGGCTGTCCATTTTTTTTCTTCCTCAAACTGAATGCAATAGCATTGCTTCTTTTGGATCTTATACTTTACGTATAACATTTTGTTGGAAAATTTCTTCTTAAATGTCACGTAGTCAATTTAATCATTAAATACACAAATTATCATGAAACTTTAAAAAGATCCAATTTACCCTTTTCATTTACATGTTTTTTTATTTATCTTTTCTAGGAATTTCAGCCAAAATAATCCTAATTCGTGGCCACGTTCTTTTGAAAACTACCCTTACTTCAATATCAAGACATAACAGTATACGGCAAATTTGTTATACAAAATACACCTTATGGCTAATCAAATCGAATCCATTTACATGGATACTTCTTTCTTGAACTTAAACCAAACCAACTTTAAACGATAACGCTGTTTTTTAGTATATCCAATTTCAATGAGTTCATAAATGACAAAATCTATCTAATCTAAACGGCTTCAATTGGCTTGGTATCTTTAATAAAGAAAATCCCAATCTTCCTTCAGAATTTCTAAAGATAAACAACCTTTAATTTTATATAAATTGAGATCACTGTACCTCATATCAAAATTTTAGTTCAGAACACAACGCACGTACCAGGACGTACCTTCAATGACCTCAATTCTAGTAACTTTTGTAGAGACTTTTCCCCCACTTCTAGTGACTTTTCTAATGTCATTTAGAAACGGCCGTATATTATTAGGTCAGGCGCAAATCTCGCTAGGGATTTTCATATGGTTTGATTTAGAATCGGCCGTACACTACCATCGACAAGAAGGCGCAAACCTCGCTAGCGCAGTTCAGAACCACTCAATCCTAGTGACTTTTGTAGGGATTTTCATCTAGTGTGATTTAGAAACGGCTATATATTACTGCTCCTTTTGCCTTGGATAGCACCGACATGTTAAATTAATTTGGTTACTGGGTTTATAATCTTTATCGCCGAAAAATTGCGGGAATATTCTCGTTTAAAAGAGGATGCCAAAAATAACTATTAGTTTCTGACCAAATTTTAGTGTATCTTCCTCGTAGGTCTCTAAAGGTCAAAAACAAAATCTTTCGTCATGACTACTCCCAAACGAATTTCTTTGCGGCGGCCGGCGTGGTTATCTCCGAATCTCCCAAAAATCTTCTCCGGGTTAATCACTACCTACTTTTTTTGAATTAAATAGCGCATCTTTCAAAATGGCGCCCAGTAATTAAGGGAACCATTTTTTCAAGAGCAAATCGCACCCTAGATTACATCCGCGTTAGGCCGTTCATTATCATCCCACGCGTTTGGTTTTTCTGTAAGTTTGCATTCCCGCTAGCAACTTACCTACTGAACGACCGATAGATTAGAGTCAATGATTTCCGGAACTCGTTGCCAGGTCACTACGTTACAGAATTCAATTACGCAGAGAAATTGATCGCTAATTTTAACGGAAAACTACGTGAATCCCTGCAAATCTGAGTTTACTCAAATTTTTGATATTATCAAGTCCATAACAATCCGCACCCCTAGCGAAATTTAACTTTCAACTGTACAACAAAAATTAAAAATAAACAACCACCATTAGAAAGCTCCTGTTACATGATTGTTTTCAAAATTTTTTTAGTTGACCGTAGCTACCTCCTCTGTTGCGATTATTGTTCTGCGCGGAAAATCAAGGGGAACGTTTCTATCCAGATGGTATGCAGGTCTGTGATTACCAAAATGAATCTGTAGACAGTGGAGGTAAAATCATATAGTCCCTTTATGTCAACGGAAACTAATCTCCATGCTCTTGATGGTTGTTGAGAGCGGTCACTGAGGCGCATATCCAACAAACGCTAACAAGTACTAATACGCCATGATACGTTTCTTTGGTAACCACCAGCCGAGATACGTTTAGTCTCTGCCCCTCTGCTTTATTTTTTAATACATCTTGATTTGGTGGTTATGGTTAACCAGATTTTGCTTTTTTACCATTTGCTGCTCAAGAGTTAGGTACTATGGCTATAGAAATGATTGAAACCCCCAACTTAACCTTCGAAATATTAATACAAAGAATCCGCCAGCGTCACAAATAAACTTCTCCACCGGTCAAAGAATTTTTCGACGTACCTAGTTTTCCACTTTAACTCGCCGGCTGTTATCTTCAACTCGCTCCCGTTACAGTAGCCCCAAATACCAATAGATATAGATACCAAGGTATTGTTCTTCGTTTTTTTTTTCTCTTCTGAAAATTGTATAGTCACGACTATATGAACTTCTTCCTTAGCGACAGGAATCGAATACTTTTTCTTGACGAACCAAACTGAATTTTTAATTTTCAATTCGATACTTTTTTAAATTTTTTTACTCATTTGGGTCTTCATTAGTTACTTCACCAAGTCAAGTACTTCACATCTATTTTCTTACGCTCCTACTTCTGTGGTTTTTCTTTATACACTTCCTCTTCATTTGCTCTCCCATACTTCTCTTCTGTATTAGTTCTTCTACACACCTCTTCTACAAACGCTTCTAAGCCTTTTCCACACCTCTTATACTTAGTAATTAAATAAACGTAGTAACGATGAAATTATTTATGTACTTGTGAAATTTCCTCCATAAAGGTTGGAAAAATGACAAAACCGGTATATTCGAAAATCCCTTTTCTTTTTCGTTTCTTATAGTAGCGCACAAGCCTGCAGTTGCGCTTTTAAGCAAGTTTTTAATCGGATTTCTTAATCTGTATGTAGTTTTTCGTAGGAATGTTCAGCAGGGTCGAACAAATTCCTTTAGACGCGCTGAATCCAAAAAAACGATCACATTTTATTAATAAAACTGAAAAACTTGTGCAAGTAAACTGTAAATTGAGTATTGAAATAACTACAATCAAAACCGTTTAAGAGAAATTTGTAATAAATTATGATGCTGAAAGTTCGCGTTGGTCCAAACACAAAAGTTTCAATTCATTTTAGTGCGGATAACAATTGGTATTTTGTAATTCTCGACCGTCCCGATTCGGATCACAAACAAGAATTCATTGTTGTTAAAAGCTTAACGCTTGTACGGTTGCTAATATCATTATTCACACTTCACATCGCAATTGATTGAACTGAAACTAACAATACCTTTCTAAATGGCGACGTGACTCGTAAATAAAGTTTGGCATATAGAGAAAGATGCGATTTAAATTACATGCTGTATACGACCTAATATCGGTGTGAATTGTTTCAGATCCATCAACAGTTTCAAGACCGATTAACAAGGCATAAACCTAAATCGGAAGGTGTTTGGTCACCATGGAGTTCATGGACGTCGTGTTCGAGGAGCTGTGGCGGTGGAGTTTCGCAACAAATTCGTCATTGTGTCCCAAAGCACACTCGACACAGGTTAGCCATTTCCAAACTTTTGTTTTCTTTTTCTTTCTGCTACTTTTTATTATACCTGCAGCAGAATCGCTGTTAAAAGACGCTTGAACGTGCAACTATAGCACGCGGAGCCTTAAATGTTGCTAAGTAACTTCAAATATGACATACGAAACTATATAATCTGAGACTGAAATAAAAAATGCTCTCAGATCGCTTTCTGCACATGAAAAAGATGTCTGGGGCTCGTATCCTTTGTTGGAAGCTTTAGGTCAGCATTAACTATGCATTTAAGACTTTGTTTAAAAGATGCCTCCTATTCATCTACGCCAACAATCTTTCATACTTTTACATTTGGATTTTGCAGGTACCATCTCTTTCTGCTTCTGCAACAAGTCACTGAATGGACGGTGTATTATCTAGTTTCTGTGGCTTCTTTTCCTCAAACTTTCTTTGGATTCTTCAGTGATACTACGAGTTCATCGGTTTCTCAACATTTAATTTGTTCAAATCTTTCGAAATATTTTATTTATTTATTTATTTATTTATTATCCCTGTCTTGTTCTTAAATTTAATTTTAAATTCAAGTTAATCAAAATCTTCCAATTCTTCGCCTTGAGTCTTCCTGATGTTTTTTTTCCATTTTTTCAGTTTCTTGAAATTCTTCAAATATATCAGATTCTTCCTTTTCATTGAATTCATCCGATTGTTTAGTTTAAATTCTCTCGATTCTTCAAATTCTGTCGTTTCATCGCATTCTCCAAATCCTTTCGGTTTTTGAATTTCATCATCCAGGATACCTATTTGAATTCAGAATTGAGAGATGCGCTTTTTTTATTGTAGAATTGTTTCATCTTTAAAAATTATTTGCTAAGCTTTATTTTCGTAAAGATTTGGTCATATGTTTTTCAAAGAACGTGGCTGTAGATAAGAAAATAATTGTAAATCTAATTTTTGTGACCTTTTGAAGTGATTTTCAGTGACAAATAGTGGGGAGACAGTCTCATTCTTTTTTATTGTTAGCCCTGAAGTTCTGCGTGACATTTCAGTATTTTGTATCTTTGTGTTGGTCATATTGGTTGACCAAGTAATTCACACACCAATATAGAACCATTGAAACTATATCATCTTCCTTTAAATAATTACATTGATGTTTTGGGAATGCGACTGTTAATTGTTTTTCTGCCCTAATTTAACCGACCTTGAATCTCTTTTATACGACTTATGTATGAAGGCTCTGTATAAAGTGTTGTCGTAAAACTTTTAGAATATGATGCAGGATATCAAAACTTAATTTTAAAAAAACATGCCATTTAAAATAACAACGTTAGTGTTGACTTCCGGTCTAAGCGGAAGTGCTGCCATCTGTAAAGGTTTAGTTACATTTACAGGGGCTAGGGTCTTGTAGAAAATAAATTTTCTCTACGGCACTGGTAAAAATTTTACTGTCACAATTAATTTTTTGTAATGAAATAATTAATATCACGGCTAGCTCAGTATATGAATAAAACCCGATGCTCTGGTTTGGCCACTTGTTCATGAGATAAATTCCCGTGTGTCAAACAATTCAGGAGTGACTTTAAACGTACAAAAACGCCAAATAATCGACTCCTATGGTTGCACAATGCACAAGATTCAAAAATAACTCACATTTATCGAGGAACCGAAATATTCTCTAGTTGTAGTGGATTTTCTCCTTTGAACGGGCAATTTGGAAAATTGGATGGTAGAACGCCTTATTTGTTACTCGTTAAAAGTGAATCTAGAAAGATAGTTTCGACTCCAAAACAAGCTTTGCTTCAGGTTTTACGCAGTTTATTAGTTGAAATTTGATTTGAAGTGTTTCCAATGTTCCGCAGTATGGAAATGTCCAAAACTGCCTTTATAACTTTTGGGTTTTGATAGCAAACAAAATCACGAATTAATTGTCTTTAAACTTTTTAGCGGTTGACGTTTAATGTAGATCTAATAACACCCCATATACACAATAGACCCACTTCGATTATAGCGCAATGAAACGTTTTGAACCTGGACCGCAACGCTTCCGTGGTAACAATTTATTGAAATGAGAGCATGCTAATCCGCGACTGCAGACAAAGTTTTCTTGTTGCATACAACCCCCCCCCCCCCTTATATTGGTCTTGTTCGAAAGGGCAGCTCCAACTAAATGTATATAGTACCTACGACAATAAATTCGTCGATAGTTTTATATACCGCGATTATACGGCTTTCGGTTGTAACTTTTTATTAATAATGAAATTTTACGCGATCTCAAAAATGGCGTACAACTCATATGGTTCGCCTTGATTTCATTTTACGTCATTTCCGCGCTTATGAAACGTCGATTTGCCTTTCTCCCATCTGATTTTTACTTTTGTACTCGCCGAATCTCAAATACAAAACGACCCCAACCAAAACCAAGCGTTCACTCTGTTTTTTATACATGTGAAGGTCTAACACAAATACCGTCCCTCATTATCCGTCACGACGATTTTTAGAACCCGCAGACTATCTGTTTGAATACTAGTTTCTTGTCTTAACGCGCTTTATTTTCTTGAAAATTAGTTCTGTTAATTCTCTTGCATTATGAAGCGGTGCACGTATAAAAGGTCCTATACCGGCAAAATTAATTTTATCTCTCATTGTATTCTAATTAAAGGTCTCAACGAAAGGAACCGTTTTCTACCAACTACTGCCCTTCTTGCTGTCCTCTTATCAAAGAAGGGCGATGGAAGGGGAGGGGGGGAGTAGACTAGTTTTATCCTTCATAGTACTCTAATGAAAAGTCTCCACGAAAGGAATTAATTTCTACCAACCATAGCCCTCCTCCTCGACCTCTTATCGTGATCGGGTATGTTCCCTTATACCTCTTGAACGGATTGTCGGAAGAGGGTACTTACAAAGGGCGATTGAGACGTCTGCAAGAAATATATCCATTGGTGATGTCAAAACAAAAGCTATTTCGGTTTAAAAAAAATGCACTTTATCTGCACAAAAGTTGTGCACAATTTATACTTGTTTTATGCATTACGATAAAGGGATATTTTAACCATTGAGTGAATTAACTTTCACGAGATGGTTAGTTTCCATTTATCGTCGTGTATAATACAAAACTTTATTTTATAGCAGAAGCCATATAAATAACTATTACTTTGTAGCATAATTATGTTAAAATAACATTTTAATAGGTTTGAGTAGGCTAAGCCGTTCTTTAACCGTAAGGGTAGATAAAGTGATCACTTTAACCGTAAGGGTAGATAAAGTGAAACAGATGAGTGTGCATTCTAATGACATCTGTCATTCCTATTTCAAATCCACGATATAAAACGACATCCAGAACATATGACAATTCTGTTTCTACAGAATCGCGATTTGAAGATTCGAAGTTTAAGAAAAGGTATAAATTAACAAATGTAATGCTCCACATGACCTTCACTAACTTCCATTTCCATACAATAAGACAGATTTTACATTTCTCAAAACCTCAGGAGTTATTCTCCGGCATTGGGTGATAATTCTTTGTCGTAGTCCAGATTTTTGTTAGGGTACCTTGTGTAGATGTCAGGACAAAAATTTACACTAATGAGCTTGATTTGAATCCAATCAGTTCGTAGACTTTCCCTGTATAGTGTATACTGTATATTATAGTACATCTTGGCTTTGCAGGTGGATACTCCGGTCTAATTTTTGTGATCGAGGATAATTTCTTATTTGAATTACACGTGCACTGGAGCTGCATCGCACGACTTTCGCAAAGAGTAAAATGCATCAGGCTTAATGCACTTTAAAGAATTAGCTACATTGTAACATAATCATCGTTGTATATTAACGCCAATTTAAATAAGCGCTTTATGCGTTAAATTGTTGGAAAGTATAGCCTACAAATATTATTATTAATTAAGCGTGTAAAATTGATACCCATACAACATCAAATTCAACACGTCTTTAATAAGTGCTTTGAGAAATAGCAGTCGGCGTGTTTCTAATTGTAAACCACTTGATCTTTTAATCATGACTTGCTAAATGCATGTAAAGCTAATGGTTTCTACCACAAGCAAACCGACGAAGCGGTATCTGTCCAGGATTTTTCGCCCCTTGCAGGGCGAATTTTAGCAACCCCTTTGCGTTGTACAAGTGAATTTCTATATTAATCACCACCACACAATGGAATAACACGGCGAGGACGACGTTACAAACCCACCCCTTATGTAAAAAATGATGAAAATCCAATTTCTTTATCCCGATATTATTTTCGTTCCATGCACGTATTACAAGCAGATGGTATGTAGGCGCCATATGCATGGGTTGATCATAATTGAAAGAGTGAAATTAATTCCTAAGTCTCCGAATTAGCTTATCTGTAATTTGTTCGTTGGGTATTTAGGTATACGCATTGTTTCTTGAGCAGCTTTTCAGTTTTAATCTAGCAATGAGACGGCCTTAAACGGCTAAATGGAATAATTGTGTTAAAGTCACAATGAAGACATATTACTCTGACCAATTAAACCTATTTCAATTTGTGGGTATTTTATGGTAACGAATAGTTTTACGCTTCCCATACTTCCAGAAATTGCTAAATCTCGGATAAAGCAATTTTAATCTCGGCGTTTAACTCAGAATGCACGTGCTCGGAATGTGTAATGGCAATTTGTGTAGGTAAATGTCGCGTTTACCTATTTTGGTCTTGGGAAAAAAGTTGTTTACTATTTATGTAGATCGTGTTAAAGATAAATGGTTTAAATGCGTCGTAGACGCGTCTTTGCAGAACCTCTAGCCGGAAATGTGGCGTCGCACGCCCTAACCCCTTCAGTGCTTCTGAACAATACCTCATTAAATCAATATACTGTCAAATGCAACCAATACGACCGCATTGCATTCCATTACACATACGCCAACTTTGGTCTCGGTGTACACGATGTCATTTTCTACCGTTTTCTTGTTCATTATTCTGTTTTATTGCCCAGAGTAACAAAACTTACGAGAATGTAGTACTCGATCTTGTTTAAGTGTAACGTGCGTGCAAT